GGCCTTAACTAAACCACATTTGGCCACAGTTGTCCCTCGCTTTCCCTTGCACCAAAAATGTGCCTGCAGCAAGATGTATAGTGCAGTGCCGGAGGCGACCGTGGAGGAACTCTACAACTGCTATGGCGGTGTAGCCTGGTACGTGCTTCAACGTCCGTTCGAGAACCCCAGCTGGGGGTTGCCTAGGCTGCTGCAGCCACTGACCAGAATCCTGGCTACTTGCAACGTTCAACAGGTGAACCATTGTAGTTTGTTAGTCCTCTGCCTGAACTTCATGTCGTTTTAGGTCACTGCCTAGTTTTCGCCTGCATTGCCTGAGTTTTCAATGTTGATGTTCCTTCCATCCAGTAGAAACTCATTCTGTTTTTTCACACTGCGGCTGAGCACCTATGTCCTCCCATGTCCTGCTGACGTTTCATTTTTTGGCGAGTTGTACCCTGCCTTTCACATGCAACACACCTGTGGCCTGGCCTGCCTCCCTGGTTGCTCCCATCACATTAGGTTCGGGCGGCCATGGATGCCATCGACATGGGACCTGAGGCGAGCCATCGCCTGGTCCATATTGTGCCTTACGACAACTTCAAGGAGAAGCGGCTAACGTTTGCTTCTGATTGGGTGGCTGAGGAGTTCACCAAACGGGCTTGGATAGATGAGCAGGATCAAGTGAAGTCTCTGATGGAATACAGCGCCGAAGCAGTAAAGGGGATACTTTTTGAGAAGGTTATGCATGGTGTACTGGCGATGGGCGGCAAGTTTGATGTGGTGCCATTGCACCCGGAGACTCTGGAGCGAGGCGAGGAGGAGGAGCTGGACATCCAGGCCTGTACAGAGTCTCTTCGCTTCACAGATGACGAGGCCAGTGATATGATGAGCAGTATTAAGAACATGTACTTGAGGCCCGTGTCCGGCAATTTCCCCGTCATTGATGCCCTTAAGGTGCCGGAGATGCACCTTTTCCAGATGACTATTTCGCGTAGCAAGGTACTCAATGCTGATGAACTTGAAAACGTGCTCAAGCGACTGGGCATCCCTGCACCGGGCCAGGAGGGCTGCCAGCCCAGCCTCTACTTTGTGGTGCATCCTGGCGTGTACAACAAGTTTAAGGTCCGGGCAGCAACAAGGAAGCTTCCTTGTTCAGCTTAAGCTGAAGTCCGGCAAGGAGCGAAAGGCGGCCTGGCCGCCCTACCCCAAAGAGAAGTATGTGCGGTCAGCTAACACCCGGTTGTACATTATGCGTGGCACATACAGGCGGACCCTTGGGCCTTCGGCTTGTTTGGGCTCGTTATTCCGTGGGAGAATAGTGCCAGTGTAGGTGTAACGCACACATGCTAAGACCTGTACAGCAGCACTTGATGTATCCACACCACAACAGTTGTTGTGCTGGGCGAAGGGACAGGTTTGTGGACACCACAGACTTATGGCCATGATTTGTTAATGCATTTTGTGTTATTGTGTGATCTCTTGTCCTTATTGATGCAGTTCTTTTCTATAGGCATGGAGTTCTGCTGATGTCAATGGCTGTACTAATTGTCTTAACTAACAGAAGTGGGGTTGCCCAAATAGGCAATCTGGTGCTGTTACTGACTGTCTGTGTCTGCTAGGTATTCGCAGTATTTACTTGTAGCAGCTGACCGCTGAAAAGGTCTCTCGAGTTGCTGGCGGTCGCGCTCTGCACGTATTTATAGCACCGTATTGTGTACCGGCTGCTACATACTGGTGTTTGTAGTGTAGTATGCTGCCAAGTAGTTGTAGTATGTGTTAGGTAGGGCTCATGTGTACACGCGTTTGTACGTTTTGTACTTGCAAACTGAGGTTGATGAAGAGCAGTATGTACTACAGTTTTAATGCCTAGTAGGCATTAAAATGATATTTGTTACAGCAACGTTTGTCACTAGCCATGTGCACATATGTCGCTTACTTGCTACAACTTATGAAAAGTCAACATCTAGACTCTAGAGAATAGATATTTGCACCATGTTCTGAACAATGTCACCAACAGACAGAAGAAACATAAATCGGCAAGAAGGGATATACTCCTAACTAACCAACATATGATGCGATTGCTCTCAACAAATCACTCCTTCACTCGTGTGTAACGCTGCATTAATCATTTACATATTGAACCTTGGAATTCGCAGCCTTTGCAGGACTTCATCTATCCCCACACATTACAACAACACACACGGAAATTATCACCCATAATACAGAAACAGGCGGCTGGCGGCAAAGCCTGACCTCTGCTCCCAGCCGACCCGGGTACAAACCCGCCTGCCGACCTCTCGGGTGTGTGGAGGGGTGTTGAATTGGGAGGTGGCCCCCCA